CCCTTTATTCTTTACAAACAGTTAACAGTTCATTACAATTTAATCTAATTATCGGTTACTGATTTGACTTTACATTGAAACAGATAACAGTTTCAACAAAAGGGAAAATGAAATTAAAAAAACACAAAAAGAAAGACAAAGTCCACAAAAGGACTACAATGACAATCACAAGAAGGTTGCCTGCCTTTCCTCCTTCCCTCCTCCATCTGCCCGCTTCTCTTTCTCCTACTTTATTTCGTTGTTTAGATTAAATTATTTTTCTGAAGGACATTGTTTGAAAGAAGCCCATTTCTTCCTTAAGGAGGCTAAGTTAGCCTACTAATTTTAACACTTATCATGACTTATTACTTTCATGAATTAAGCAGTCCGGTCCTATACAGGCTAAAACTTGTTTATACTTGTGGATATTGCATGATTAATTTTTTCGCTTAAACCTTAACTTGACATTTCATTATAGATTTCGCGAAAATCACCTCTAACTTTGTTTTTAACATTTAGGATTAAAGGTACAGTCAAACCTCTTTAATACGGACACCAAAGGAACAGAGGTGTCCGTATTATAGAGGTAGGGAATGTTTGATTTTTGGCATTTCTGGGACCAAACAAATTGTCCGTTATAGAGAGGTATTCGTACTATAGAGGTGTCCGTAAGGAGAGGTTAGACTGTATTTGAATGATACTGGTGATGGGTATCCCATGATTTTCAGATGCTTTAATACTAAGAGGAAATTTTTTATTGTTCAGTGTGATTTTTGAGGGTTGCTACATGTTGGATCATTATGAAATGAAATTTTTTCTCTCGTTGACATCTGTAATTGATTTGTGGGAGAGTTTTAGCCTATCATTTTCAATGAAGAAGCTTCAAACCCCCGATAAATCGACTACTAGACACGATCTTATAAACTGTGAATTTTGTCAGTGTCTTTCAGATCACAATTGTAAGAATTCAACATATAAGTGAATCCATGTGATTTTCATATTGCTGTCTTTGCATGTTTTATATTGACTGGACAACCCAGGCTTGATAAAAAAAAATAAGATTGAATTCGTTTTGACCAGACAAACAACTGGAAGGATTCGTTGCTAAACGGAGCCTTTCCAGGCCAATCAGAGAAGATTTACGTAAGTGTTAATTTCAGTTAACTGCGACTGATAAGTTTGTGGGTAAACGCAGATGGGCTGCTGGTCAACTATAAAAACCAAGGAGCAGCATCAGTAGGAAAAGAGAGAATTGTTAAGTCTGAATGTCAGTTGTGAACTTGGCTACGAATTAAAGCGGTAAAGTAAAATAGGTCTCGTCTTTTGTTGAAAATGAACCGGTTAATCTCTCTGGAAGGTTCTTTTAACAAGATGGCTGGATGTTGGTCTCGTTCTTTCATGCGTTTTTGCTGACCTCGAATTCGTCTTGGTCGAAAAAAAAAACCACCAACCTCGTCCCCAGGGCGCTTTTCCCTGGCTTTGGAGGTGGGGCGGGAAAAGGCCCTGGCATCGGCCGGTCACATGACCACCAAACACCCAGAATTTGTGGGTGTACTAAATTAGCATACGATCGCATACGATAAACAAAACATCGAGGATGGCGAATAGACCAGGGTTTTTTTATCAGTGCTTCGCCGGGTTGGATTTTCCTTGAGTAATGGTATCCTTCCATCGCTTTATTTTAAACCTCTTCAAGTAAAGTGTTTCGAATCTTTCCTTTTCGGCCAACACCGAAAATTTCCGCCGCACGCGAGAAAAACCTCTGGTACCCAGGGTAACGACCGTACCGTTCTCGCCACGATAGGGAAGAACAACTAAAGTTGCTCTAACTTGTAAAAGCAACTAGCCAAAAAAAAGTACAAAGCCAACCCGGCAACTAATGAGGTTCGCGTAGAGAACCGAAACCATGGTCTTGCCAATGATCACAAAGTGGCAATAATACCGGGAATAACGCAGTCCAAACACTTTAAGCTTATTCAAAAGCTATTACAAAGGAAGGAAATACTCCCCCGAATACGCGCTCCAATCAAAAGACTCGTATTATCTTTAGAAAATCATTAAGCTAAAGTCTACTAAGTCTCAATGCAATTCTCCGTAGTTGATACAGCTGCAGTTTAAGCTTCACTTCATTCTAATAATTTTGGATCTGAAAATCACTATCCTTGAAACTTTAAACATCCTGCAAAGATAACAAACGCGCTGGGCCCAGCGAGATACAACATTGCATAAAAAAAACATAACATTCACGGACTAAAGAAAATCGCTTAGTTATTCATAACCAGAAGGTACTTGGAAGAAAATTATAACCCTTATTCAGCTGTGATAAAAAACTTTACGCTTTAAACGAGGTCAAAGAAAATGCTCTTACATCAGAGGGCAAATCCTGCCGACCAGACACAAAACCACAGTAAATCGATATGTGTGCCATGACCTCTCAGTGTGAAACAAGCTGCCTGTTCCATTCACTAACTCGCTCCCCACTTATCGCCGTGCTCTACTGACTATCTGAACGCCTCGAACAGGCTAGAAACAAGCGGTTAAAATCACATTTGCTCTGTGAAAATGTAGAACCTTCCAGAGCATAATGTGCCCAGCAGAGAAAAAAATAATAACTTGGAACGAGCAGTACTTAGTCTGCTACACAGCCGTTTTTAGTGTCGTCACGCAAACGACACTAAAAACGGCTGTGTAGCAGACTAGCAGTATTTTGGCACGAGGTAAAAGTCGTGTATGCCTACCACCCCCTTTTATTGCGGCTCATCCACTGCATCGAAGCATTGGGTGGCATATCCTTTGACGGAAGCTTCGACGGCTGATGTGAAGACAGTGAAAGTTAAAAGCATCGCTTTACAGAATATTCTGAGTTTAAATCATACGGTGTATTGTCTACATTTTGAGCTCTCCGAATAAACTAATCCATTTTGTCTACGAAGTAACGCCACTCCTACATAACACTGCTCACCTCGTATCGTCAGCTGTATCGTCCTCAGAAATTTTTATACGGTCTTATACCACAGGTTTTATAACCTTTCGAACACAGATGTTTACATAAGCCGGCCTTGCTGAATATTCGAAGCATAGCGACACTCGTGAGAACCACCACATAGCCTGCAAACTGGATTTCTTCTTTGGAGTGGTCATACTTTCCGCCACTTCAATTTCGGTATAATGCATAAATTATTTTCATTTGGCTATTTTCTTACATAAATTACCTAAATCAATCAGCCAATCCAAATGACGGATTGGCAGGCCGATGCCAGGGCCTTTTCCCGCCCCACCTCCAAAGCCAAGGAAAAGCGCCCAGGGGACGAGGTTGAAAAACCACTTAATTGTTCAATAGCTAACCATTATGACCTCACGTTTGGTCAATAATGATATCATCTTATGTATTTTACAGGAAGTTGTTCATTTACAAAATGCTTCCACACAAAGTAGCTGTTAATATGATTCTTGTGCTGATTATATCATCTACTGGTGAATCTTATCGGCATTTGAAAGCTGGAGGTAAATATGTGCAATCCAAACAAAAGGTTGTAGACTCACTCAGTTACCAAATTCCATTAGCTCGTATCAGAAACTCATAAGAACTCAAAGATCTCCTGCTGTGTTTTCCCGCTCAGTACCAAGACTGATGACTTTTAATCCTTAAATGACGTACTTTACCATTGGCTGACTCCATTTTTTAGCTTTTAAACACCACGAATGGACGAACCACAGGAGTGGCGTTAGGCCTAGACACAAAAAGCTGGATTTTTTTTAAAATTAGGATTCTTAGAGCATCAGAAGATTTTTAAACTATTGGGGATTTTTAGATTATTTTGAAAAAAAAATGGTTCTATTTTCTTTGCCTCTTTATTTAATTTCCTATGAAATGATAAGTTTGTCCCATTGTTTACTAATTGGTGACTCCTAGAATGCAATCCAATCGTGCAGCGGTGTTTCCTTTTTCTAAAGCATCCCGTCATTCCACTCGGCACTCATCTGCTGGAACCGACATTGAGTGCCTTTTGTTTGATAAAAGCGCTATCAAAAAAGCGTACAAAATGTGTATGCCGTTTTCTTTTCTTAAACGGAGATCTGAGGTTTCATTAAAAAATATTGTGAGATAAATAGAAATTTTTGGAAAATTTTGGGATATTTTGGGATTTTTAGAAACTTTTTGGGATATTTATAGATTTTTGGAGGCATTTAATTTTAGGGAAAAAGCTGGGCGAATTTGCAAATAGAGTTTTTAGAGCATTTTTTGGGATATTCCAGCTCTAGCACGTTCTCAAGCTAAATAAAGCAAGGATTTTTTAAAGTTTTTTACGCGGATTTTAGCGAGTCGGTGAGGGTCAAGTTTACTGACTAACGGTTAAATATGTCGATTTTTACGCCTTAAGACTAAATTTTTGGCGTTTTATCACCAGTGGATATAATATCCTCATCGAGACCCTCTACAAATTGATATCAATTAGCTCAATCATCACTAGTTCGTCTAAACCTATTATCAGCTTTTAGAATTATCTCAACGGATTAAGTGCCTGAAGTCCAAGTATGTTGTTTGCAAGGCAAAATTAGTAGAATCGAGTCACTTAAAAGTTGCAAACACTTTTCAGGCAATATTTCTGGGTTTTGCTTGATATTTCAATGTCACATACTAGCCTGTCATTACTCTACAATGCCTTAGAGCACATGCAAAGAGTATGAGGATGTTTATACCTAGAAAAGTGCTTTTTTTTACCAAATGAGCTCGCCGATAAAGAACCTGCATGTATGAGAGAATCGTAAGAGACATTTCACTGATCTTTAACGAAATTAGAGTTGATCCTTTGTGATTTGTGTAAAATTAATTAACCTCTGTAATTATTACACAGCGATTTGCCCTGATGGAAATTTTTGCGCAGGAAGATGCTGTCCATGGAGAGCGAGTCCTACTGGGTGGGGCTGTTGTGGTTATACGAATGGTCGTTGTTGCTATCATAACATGGATGGAATGTGCTGTCCAAACCATTGGAGGTGTCGTACTTTTTTCTTTCCCGCTTTTTAAAAATATTTTGAATCAACCTGAAGTTTGTATTTATTATTTCTATAAGTTAGTTAGTTTTAAGGTCTCACCAGGCCAAATACAGAAATAAAAAAGTTTTATCAGCCGTAAAGCAAGACTGAGTAAAATTCGATTGAGGCCCCATTTGAACAAGCTTTATGGATAAAGTTATTTTATTGACTGAAAACTTGCTTGTTATTATTCATACCTTAAAATGACACTGTTCATATCAAGGAACATTTTAGGTGCCCCCTCCCCCCTCTTTGTGACCCTATCATCAGTTTGCAGAGTCCCCTCCCCCCACCCACTACAAAAACACGTTTTGAAAATTTCAGCCCCACCCCCTCTAAATATATTCCTGCCCACCCTTTCCATATTAACTGAACTTTTCCTAATCAGTATGTCTGAAAAAGAAATTCTCGGAATAATGTCAGTAACCGAGATCTAGTAACTTCGCCTCCATCCCCAAATAACTGCAGAGGTACAAAAATTGAACAGCACATAAAACTCAGAATTCCCTTGGTCGTCATGTTTAAATAGCTTATGCAACGAGGCTTTTCTTTATTTTTTCAAAAACAGTTTTTGCGTAATTATTTCGAATTATGTGAATGGAGTCGAAGCAAGTATATGACAATTATTGGATGTCAATATACAACTGCATTGCCTTATATATGCTATAAATTGTTTTCTTTTCTTTCTAATTCTACAGATGCGAACCACCACATAGTTGTGTCAGGCTTGGCAACGAACTTGGGAGAGTTTAGCGCGCCAAAGATGTAGAAAATAAATGGCCTGAAAATCTTTTATAATTTCGTCCCAGTTTTTTGCTCAACATTGACTTGAGTATCTTTTTTTGGTGGAGAGAAATTTCTTTAGTTTTAAACTTGTTTAGCAAAAACAAATACAGTCAAACCTCTTTAATACGGGCAACAAAGGGACAGAACCAATTGTCCACTTTACAGAGGTGTCCGTATTATAGAGGTAGCTGGGGAATGTATGATTTTTGACATTTTTGGGACCAAACGAACTGTCCGTTTTTGAGAGGTGTCCTTAAGGAGAAGTTAGACTGTAAGAATATGGATGAATTATCTGTTAGTTTTACTTAGAAGGAAAGGGTTAAGGGATGTTTAAGTTCGTAAAGATTGACTAGTTTTTAGCTTTCGAGTTTCTTTTGGATTCGTAAGTTTCCTTTTAGCCATCTGTCAGGGGCAGCCAACGACGGCTTCCTCGTAAATACATTGAAAACACTTTTTAGCCTATCCAGAGTATACTTTTAGATCTCTACTAAAGCATTCTAGGCGGCGCTGNGGGGGGGGGGGGGTAGGGAATTTTCGAGCCGCAGTAATTTTTTTTCGTTATCAAATTCCTTGTATGGATTTATGTTTGGCCGTAGCATGAATATTTTTTAGGATTAATTGGCGTGCATGAATTTGTTTTCATTTAATTTTCCCTTGCGTATTTTTTTTTTGTACTTCGCTCGCCCCCCTCCACCCCCCGATAAGTTTTGTAATGGTCCGTCCCTTAGTCAGCGTTTCTATGCGCTTAGACAGCCGCCAGCTGATCTTTAATTTTAATCATATTGTTATATACCACTAGAAGCCTAGGCTCAAAATGTAAGCGTCGGCGCTGTTACGCAACTTTCGAAATATGAGAATTTGTGTGGGAAAAAATATTTGTTTCTGAATCCCACAATTACCAAGAGACATCAAAATAAAAAACGGTTTACCTCGTTCAACTTATATGATGTTTTTCTTTCTACCTGTGTACATTTTACCCCAGACCATTAGTGGATTTTATATAAATTGAACCGGTTTGCTCTCTTTAACCAGGTCAACACCGTGCTCATCAGATACGTCGATCGACACACAGTATAAAGGGACCGTTCAGAAACGCTGGTTTTTGGCATTCTTGCAGATTACAGTCTAACTTCTCCTTTAGGATATAATACGGACACCTCTCTATTAGGGACAGTTTGTTTGGTACCAGAAATGTCAAAAATCATACATTCGCTACCTCTATAATACGGACACCTCTGTAAAGCGGACAATTGGTTCTGTCCCTTTGGTGTCCGTATTAAAGAGGTTTGATTGTATTTGCATTAAAAGATGCCGTCAATGTAAAACTTGAATGAAATTTTCTTGGTGAGCCCCGTTTATGCCCAATATTTTTTGGCAGCCCCCCCTTTAAGGCCATATTTTTTGGCATGACCCCTCTTATCCCACTTACTCCCACGCACACTAATAAAAAATGAACTTTCTCTAACAGTAGGGAGCTTAAGAAGCGACGACGACAATGGCAATGAAGAAGTCGCTAAAATAAAGAAATAAATCACGAAAGTGAGCACTTTGTCTAAAACAGATGAAATCATCGAAACACAAGCATAGGTCAACTGCACTAATCATTTCTCGCCTAATAGTCATGATGAACATAATTTTAACTCTTTTATTTCCGAGACACTTAACCTTAGGGGAGAAGGGGGGATCTGTACACAACCTAGGGACACTTGCCTGCGACACAGACGAAACTAAGGCTAGATTCTCCCCGTGTAAAGAAATCCAAGACACTCTTGGATTCTGTTTCCACCCCATGGATTCCGGTTTGCAATTACTGGGTTCCAGATCTTTTCCAGTGGAACTTGGATTCCGGATTCCAGTTCTTATAAAGCAAGAGAGAAAGGGATTCCGGATTCCTACGGCTGTATTCCGGATTCAAAGGCCCAGGATTCCGGATTCCACAAGCAAAAATTTCCAAGATCCTGGATTCGACATGCAAAAATTTACTGGATTCCGGAATCCGCACTCCTTTACATGGCCATGGGGCGACGAGATCCACACGACACCGGACGAATTTACGACCGGTTTAAAATTCATGTTGACACGGAACCACCTTAACATTACAAAAGTATAGACGTCTAGGCGGTCAAAGTTAAGTGTCAACAGAGCGAAAATATTGAACGGTTTCATATGAGCCAATAATCTGGTCAAGTTTTTCAGTTGGTCGAAACTCCAGTGCCGTGTGGACGTGGCCTAATTTTTAGGCTAGGATCAAACTCCCATCTACACCAGTGACGAACCTAATTGGTAATTAGCAAAATCTATAGTTCTAATTCATTAGCATTTGGTTGGTCGTTATGTGAAAAGCTCGACGTTTGATCATCTCCTTATATGACTTACATCTTTTGTACAGAAATTTTGCCTTCCAAAAACAAATGAAATAAATGAAAAGACAAAGTTACATTCCTCTAAATGCATTTTCCTGTATTTTCGTATATAAAATATACAAGATGAAAAATATACAACCTTTTAGCTATTTTTCCTTTCTAATATGCCTCTCTAAAGTAAAAAGTAATTCTTGGCGAGATTCGTTTTAAAAAATTCCAAAACTGAATTGATGCTATTAGTAATGAGGTCATAGTTCCCGAGTGTAGTGTAGTATCTTAATTTAGTTTATATCGGATACAACAACCCTGAGCGGTGATGACAGCACTGATCTGTCTAAATTCCGGGCTTTTGTTACTTCTTTTGTTTAGCGTCGGTTTTAGCGAATCTGAACGTTTCGGAGTTTTTTGAGTATCAAGGTGAGTGAATGTTATTTTCATGTGACAGCCGTTGACGGTGTTACTGAAGATTGTTTTGAAATTGAATCTCGAAAGTCTCCTTCCTTGTTTTTAATTATTATTATTGTTAGTAGTAGTAGTAGTAGTAGTAGTAGTAGTAGTAGTAGTAGTAGTAGTAGTAGTAGTAGTAGTAGTAGTAGTAGTAGTAGTAGTAGTAGTAGTAGTAGTAGTAGTAGTAGTAGTAGTAGTAGTAGTAGTAGTAGTAGTAGTAGTAGTAGTAGTAGTAGTAGTAGTAGTAGTATGAGGCTAAATTAACGCTGCATGGTTTATGACCTAACGCTGAAACACCAGAAGAATTAACACCCAGCAATATGAAATAAACTCTACAAGTTCAGTGAATTACACCCGATGCATAGATTGATTTAGTAGTAGTAAATACTAGCAGGTAGTTGTGAGTAACCATTCTGACCTTTATACGGTAGTTAAAATAAATGTTGTAAACATCAAAGCTTCAAGCTTACGTGACAAAACCGAAAGGTAGTATGGGAAGAAGGAGATATATCGACATGACAAACGTGTTTCGTATGTTTACCTTCTTTTAAGACACGTGGAAACGAGGCACTGCGGTGAAGTAGCAAATAAAATAAGCCTCTTAAAAGACTTATCAGGGAGAAAGGTGAAAAATCAGGGAGGAGGGAGAAACGGCCGAAAAAATTAGGGAGAAAAGAAATTTAACTGCCCGTTCCTCTCCCCCCTAAAACACGTTCAACAATGCTATGTATAAGTGGTTTTGAACTATATTCTCGTTGGGTGCCCCTGTATATTAACTTCACGTAACCAATGAAACGGAGTATCATAACTATAGGCCATTTGCACGGTGTCTCAGGATTTTGAAAAGTTAGGTAAAAAGATATAGAAAGAACGACGATCCCACATAAGTAAGCTAAGCCTTCGTCATCAGACTCGTACAATTAATTGTATGAGTCAGATGGCGTGTTTTTGAATATCACCAAGATTGATGACTTCAATCCTTAAATGACGTACTTTACCATGGGCTGACTCTATTTTTTAGCTTTTAATCACCACGCATGGACAAGCCTCAGGAGTGGTCTCAGGCCTAGACGCACAAAAGCCGGATTTTTTAAAATCAAGATTCTTAGAGAATCAGAAGATTTTTAGAAATAGTGGGGATTTTTCGACAAAAAATGGGATTTGTGGGGAGTTTTTTAGATGATTTTGAAAATAAAGGTCTATTTTCTTTGCCTCTGAAATGATAAGTTTGTACCATTGTTTACTACTTGATGACTGCTAGACTGCAATCCATTTGTGCGGTGTTTTTTCCTATTTCTAATGCATCCCATCATTCCACTCGGCACTCATCTGATGGAATAGCATTGAGTGCCTTTTGTTTAATAAAAGCGCTATCTAGTGTACAAAATGTGTATGCCGTTCTCTTTTCTTAAAGGGAGATCTGAGGTTTCATTAAATTGAGGTTTCATTAAAAAATATTGTGAGATAAATAGAAATTTTTAGAAAATTTTGGGATATTTTGGGATTTTTAGAAACCTTCTGGGATATTTATAGATTTTTGGAGGGATTTTTAGGGAAAA